TTCAGTGTAACAAACTATTTGCTTAAAAACTCACCTATTCTCCACCATCATCTTATTTTTATGTAATTTCTGTAACGTGTATGTAAATGCTTGTATATGAGAAGTTAGCATAGGCAACCAGGGTTGACGTCGCACAAAGCAGGGTGGTAAATTTAGATGATGCAGAGGTCCAGATCGCAACTGGCAGTGGTGGATGTTCTGGTGCTCGTGGCTGGCAGCGACTAAAGAGGAATTGAATTGAAGAGCTCATTCTGGGTTTTTTTTTGTTTTTTTTGTTTTTTTAGAAAATTCCACAAAACAGTGGCCAGTTGCTTCATTTCTATGTTTAGCCATATAAAAAGGGTATTATGTCGGGATACCTTTATTTAAAAAAAAAAAAAAGACAATTGTGATAATATAGATTCACACTCCTTTTCTTAAATAGCGTTTTTTCATAAAGAGGGGCCCGGTAGGCTGAGGTCACTATGTGACTGTGTTGGGTCAACTCAGCTTAATATTTAATATTCAACATTTTGAGTTTGTAATTTTTTTTTCATTATGAATATATTCCAATAATTTATTAGAGAATGGACAATTCTAAAATCAATTAAAAACACCACTGGTCATCCTTCACAAAAACAACAATTCGTATCTGTATCTTTTTCATTTTATTAAGCTACCATTTTGCAGCTGCAGACTTACGCCAGTAATACTCGTCATTGCGCGATGACGTAGTTACATAAAGTGGAGTCATAGTCATTTCAAACACTGTCCTTTCATATTGAAAAGGCGCACTTTTTCATCCCTTATTGACCAGAAGATGGTATCCAACGAAGGCAAATGAAAAGTGGCATAAAGGTTAGGAAACCGGAATTTCCGAAGGCGCCCTCGGTATCGGCGGATACTCAAATTTAAGCGACTCAGACTTATACTCGGGGGGGATCAGAACACCCCTACCTATATTTTCAATTGTTTTTTATTTATTACTCCGTCAATAACTAAAACTAAGTAACATGACTAATAGGAGAGTTACAATCGACAGTTAGCCCTCCCCATCCATGCACGTGTCGCGACCATCAGCAGGACCCACCCAACAGGTTGACAAACTAACAGCCCGAAGTTGTAAAAGGTCCACCACCACCCAAAAAATGACATTGGTCAACAAAACGAAATAACAACACGTGCCAGTTTACCAATTCTGGGATTAAGGGAAAAGATGGGAAAATTCTGGGCATCCAGAACCTTACTTTACCTACGTTGTCGGGGAGATTCGATATCTTGTTCACAACGCCGAGATGTGCAAGCGAAGCAAACACACGAGATAAGATTTCTAGGTCAACGAGCGCCCGCACACACACGCAACCGTAAAAGGGAAGAGAACCCAGTTCATTTGTTAAACCAATGGTCATGTGAGCTAACATTCCCCATTTCAAAGAGTATCCGGAATCATCGCCACCCAACCGTTTAGCAGTTGCCCACCGAGAGAGTATGCGTCCCGTTACACATAGCGGCGTAGAAAAAAAAACAGACTGGGAACAGTTTAACAATTATCAAAGAAAAAGGCTCCGCGAATAAAAGGAGCGCCCGAGATACACGGTGTTGTTCCATGCAAACGCTACCGTGATGATAAATGACAAGGGTGGACATCAAATCAGGCCCACTCGGCTCGTGGTGACCGTGTGACCTGGTTCGGCTGTCGAGCTACGTTAGCATCACAATAACCCACCACCGAGACTCCAGCTAGTGTTAGCCTAGCAGCCGCTTGTCTTTTAACGGTCGCCTCTCTCGCTTGCCGTTGTGTTTACACGCGCGATCGTCGCTTAATAGAAGGTGGCGTGCGACCTTTATTTGGTTTCAGCGTGTAGTGTGACCGAAAACAAAAGGAAAAGAAAAGAGAGACTTAGGAAGCCTGCGCGAGTCATGTCGGTGGTCTCCAGATGGACGTGACCACTCCTTTTAGAAACGCTGCAGTGCCCCCACTATTTTCGCGACAAAAACGCCATTATCATATAATTTCAGCAGCCTTATTACGTGCGCTTGCTTACCTTATCTTCACAATGCCCTTGGAACCCCTCCGGACTATTCCGTTTCGCGTGTGTTTTGTCTCCTCTCTCCCCTACTTCTGGGTCAAGCTTGTTAACAGCGAGGCTACATCAAAGAGTTTTCTATCAAAGAGGGGGCGGGGGCAATGAAGTGCTTTTACCGTAATACTAAAATCACTGCGCATGTAAAAATTTGTCGTTGCGTGCTGGTGGTTAATAAAGGCAAGCCGTTCAGCGTCGAAGGCCATACCCATCCATCCATTAAATGAAATGCTGGAGCCTATCCCAGCTGTCGTCGGGTTGGACAAACATACTAGTGGTGTGTCCTCTGTGTTGAGTCGAGCTCAAACTTCGATGCGTGTACCCGAGTAAAGATGTCAGTGCACAGCAGACGGGCACCAGTTGCACAGCTGACTCCATTCTTGAGGTGAAAATGTATCTGGGAGAACCGAATACTCACCGGCACGATGACCCCCTGCAATATTGAGGCGAGAAATAAGGCCTTTACCACCCCAACGTGTTTAAACGTGCACTAAAGTACTTGTGCATCCCCGCTTCATTTGTTCCATGTTTTCAAAGGAGGGGGAGATTCTCCTTCAAAAAAAAAAGAGGCCAAGCCCAAAAACAGTTGAAAAAACTCTATTTTTCAATGAAAATGATTAAGATAAAACATTTTGTTGTTTTTTTTAATCCACAACAATACAGACCCAATTACAGGTACGACATTTTCCTCCACCCTTTCCACGTCAATTTCATGTCATAATGAGAGTAATCCTAATCAAGACTTTGCACAAGAAAACCTCTTCCTTGCATGCCTTTATGTCCACTTGGTAGTGTCAGAGGGGAGTGAATCGCATTTGAAGCCTCGACACATGAGTCAAATCAATTGCATCAAAAGCCTCAATGCTTCAAGGAGCTTCATCTCACCATCACTACAAACAACCATTCACACTCACAATCACGCCTAAGGACAATTTAAAGTGTCCACTTAACCTGCCATGCATCTGTTTAGAATGTGTGAGGAAACCGGAGTACCTGGAGAAAACCCACGCAGGAATGGGGAGAGCATGAGAATTCCACACACTGGAATCAAACCCACGACCTCTAATCTATGAGGCGTACGTGCTAACCAGTCGACCACGCTTGCTAAACTATTACGCTATTTGGCTTTACTAGTAAGACAATTCAGCACACAAGTAGGACTAAATGTATTTGTTCTACTATTCGGTTGCTGCACTTTGAGCAGTTGTTCGATAACCTGCTAGTGTGCTGAATTATGAAAGAAAAAAATTGCTTGTTTTCATTGTACCAGGACCTGCAAATAAAAATGGTCTAACAGCTTGCCATAAAGCCCTTTGTGTTTATTCGATATCCTTACTGTCCAGCTTAAGGTCTATGTACATTTGTCCTGTTGAGTACCGGTAATATCATTCTGAAACACGAGTGGGACCACCACAGTACATGGTACTATAGTGAGGCAAAACTGTGTTGAGAACACTACAAAAAATGGTCCCAACTCTGTGCCATTTGGGCATTTATGATCGCCACCTTAACCTCAATGTACTAGTACTCTTGGTTCTCAATATTAAGACGTATTTATAGAACAAGTACATGTTACCAATGAGGGAAAACAGTGCACTTGTTGACTTGTATGCATACAATTGACAATACTGTATTCTAATCTAGCTGTTTAGGAGTTCTGGCTGCGCACAGATCTTAATTAGTGCACAGTTTTGCCTCACTGAGGAACACGTAGATTTGTCAATGCAGTGTGTCCAAGTTATCGGTGTGTAGAAATGTTTAACGGTAATGGAAGGCAGTAATGAAAAAAATGGAGGAACAAGTCTACCAGTGTGGTGAATTGTCTTAGTCAGCACAAGTACTTGTATAACCACAAAGCAAGGATGTGGGGAAACTCAAACGTCTTGCCGTAGAAGCAACACGTACATTCCAGCAGCTTTTTGTTATTCGGGTCATGAATGAGTAATTTGGGATTTAAAAGCTATTACAGCAGAAAAAAGGCAGGCCACCTCCCGTCTCTCCTCCTACTTCTCGTCCACATGAACTCACACTGATGTCATTTCAATGATTGCCCAAGAACAATAGCCCGGGAGGAAGCGCGCCACTTGTGGAAATACACGCACGACATTCCACAGCCACACGACAAAAAAAAATAAAAAAAAAGCCTTCCACTTCAGTATGATCAAAAGAATTAATCTGCTGCTGCTAATTAATTAAAATGAAATGTAATTGGAGTTACAGGTGTTGTATTGGGAATTAAACTGTTTTTTTTTTCAAGATAATCAAATGAAGGACAACCTCCCCCCTCGCCCGACCTCCTACAAAAACAAAAAACCTTCACGGGGTGGAAAGAGGAACAAAAAGCAAAGAATTTCCCTGTTTCAGAAAGTACTATATGACACTGCATCAGTGTGGACAAACGTTTCGGGTCAAGGGAAACATTTGAGTTTCAAAACGGACAGATGCACCAGGTACTGGACCCCTCAAAACAATTAAAATACTTGTAGTCTGTGTTAAATAACTAAATGTATTGTATTTTATGTTATGTTATAATTAAACAATTTGACCCCAAAAATGTTGGACATATGGAATTGTCTACTTCATGAATAGTTTTAAGTTTCTAAAAAATGAAAACACATAGTGATTAAGGAATCTGAGGGATAAAAATCTGTTTTGTTACTGTAGTGCCACAAATATTAGAGGATTCATTGGAAAAGCTTAGGGGACCACAACTGGGAAAAAAAATGGAGCAGCCTGTATGATGTTCCCTGGCCAGATGTTGACAATCGCTGCTGTATATTGTGCAAACATGAGTCTGTATAAGGCTGCAATCTAATGAAAGTCTGTTATCCAAAGTAAAAAGCAAAAACAAGTGTTACGGTATCTGTATAAGGCTGCAATCTAATGAAAGTAATAATGTCTGTTATCCAAAGTAAAAAGCAAAAACAAGTGTTGTTGAAAAAGAAACATGTTTATTTATGTTTAGCCAACAAAGCTACTAAGTTATTATCCAGTAGGAACTACAGGAAAGAACAGTACAAAAGTACACAAAGTAAGGACAAGTTCAACAACAACAGAGGTAGGTTAAAACATATAAATTACCCCATAAGCAAACCGCCAAATGCTATTTGTCACCTGTCTGTTGCTAGATGTGTAATGCAAACAGTTCAAATATAAATTAGACTTTCTTGCTTAAAATTATAAGTCGACATGATTTATACATTTTAAAACTGCACAACCTGACTGATCAGCTATTGTAAGAGGTGCAAAGTGGAAGGGAGTAAATGTTTCATTCAAATGTGGAATTTTGTCTGAATTTGATGGAACAATTATTATTATGTAAAGTACTTTGTACAACTAATTACAAAGCACCGCAATCTAATAACACATTGCAGAGGTAACAATGAAGTTAAGGTGTTTCTGAATATCGTGTGCTGTTGTGCACAATGTTGTAGCAATACAAGATTCAACCATCATTGGGGTGAGGTAAGTACAGTAGCATCATAAAGTAGACTTAAAGTAAATGTAATCATAAGTGATATTATTGGCTGGCTTTAGGTCATTTTCAGCATTAAAGATATATTTCTCTGTAGTACAACAGGATGATGGCTTATTTGCTACTGCTGGCGTTATTATCATGTAATGTTTGGTCTCTGTTCTAATCCCCATCTGTCCAAAAGAGAAGCGTATCAAACAAAGGTTAAACGAACAAGTTATGTTCGCGAAACACGCAAGGAAGATCACAGTGCCATATCAAAGTACCGTCCCACGAAAAAGTATTTGCCCCCTTTGAAAATGATTGCTTTGCCACCAAGGAGCTTTTTGACCACCTCGGTTTTTTCAGCCCCAGAGATAGGAGAGTCCACCTCAGAGTCTCCAGGTTCTGTTTCCTCAATGGAAAGTGTGTTGTTGGAATTAAGGAGGTCTTCGATGTGTTATCCCCACCGACCCAAGTTGAGGGCAGCAGCGCCCCATCTCCACTTTCCACAGTGTTAATAGTGCACTGCTTCCCCGTCCTGAGGTGCCGGATGTTGGACCAAAATTTCCTAAAAACCGACCGGAAGTTGTTTTCCTGGCTTCTCTAAACTCCTCCCACGCCCGGGTTTTTGCTTAAGTGACCGCTGAAGCTGTATTCCGCTTGGCCGGCCGGCACCTGTCAGCTGCCTCCGGAGTCCCACACGCCAAAAAGGCAATTATTCTCAAAATGAGAAAATTGCTAACACATGATTGGTAAGCCAAACCAAAACAAACAGTCATTAGGTTTGGGCACAAACTTTTTCATATACAGCCAGAGGAGTTTGTATTTTTCTTCCGCAATTATGAATAAAATCATTTAGAAACTAAATTTTAGATTTACTTGGGTTGTCTTTGTGGGAATCAGGAAGAGGGCAAACACTTTTTCAGGGCACTATAAAAGATCCTTTTCCACGAATCGCGGTCAGAGCGGTCCGTTAGTGTTGTGCGTCATCATGTGCCTCCGGAGGTTGCTGGGGTTGTTAAAGCTGGCCGCACACTGGGAGCAGGAGTACGGCTTCTCCCCGGAGTGCGTCCTCAGGTGAATCTTCAGGCTGCCGTTCTGCGTGAAGCGCTTCCCGCAAAGTGAGCAAGCGTACGGCTTCTCTCCAGTGTGTATGCGCATGTGGATGCCCAGCGTGGTCTTGTTGGCAAATGACTTGCCGCACATTGCGCAGGAAATGTGCAGCTCCCCTGTATGAGTGGCCTTGTGTGCCATCAAGTCCTCGCGACTGGGGAAGGGCATGCCACAAAAGTTGCAATCTAAAGATTTGTTAACTGTGTGAGATGGAAAGATGGCATTCAACTGCTGGGGGAACTGGTCAATGTGACTGGGATGTCCTCCGGTACTGTCGGCTGTTCTTAATATGGTTGTCTGAGATGAGGGAAGTCTGTCCAGCTGGCTAGTTTTCAGCGGGGCTCGATCACTGGCACTGGGAAAGACATTTAGGAAACCGTCTTGGGTGACTGTGAGGTCCTGAGAGTTAAAAACCTGCTGATCGGTTGGAGCAAAGAGGGTTTCAATCTCGTCCTGGAGAGGCCCTTGTCCTCGTCCGCAAACGCTGATGATTCTCAGCTCCTTGTTACTTCCTGTCAGAGAAGAAGATCCCACAGGCTCTATGTTCTGTGGCCCCGTGGCAACCTCACTCTGTACAGAGGGATTCAGGAAGGTGTCCTGACCTGAAAATACAAAATACGATGTCACTGAACAGGCGCAGACCTCCACCATCGACAAAATATAGCCATTCGTTGGGATTTACTACTGTACAGTGTCCCGGCTGTCAAGAGAGAAATGTTAACCCCTTAGCAGACAAGAGAGAGGATAATTGCTGAGAGAAAAATTGAGATACCGTACAACTGAATAAAAACTTGCATGTTAAGAGTCAGTTCAAATGCAACCATAATGGCTGCTAAGAAGTGTCTGAATAATTCTCCAAGCCAGGTCATACATACATGAACAAGCAGTTATGATCTGACTCATGTAAGCCCCCGCCCCCACACACACACACAGACACACCATCAACATCTTGCTTTGTCTTACAATGAAGTGATAATACAATATCTGAGAGATGTACAAAGACAAGGTCTTTGTTCTTATCCTTGCGACAAAGCTAAAATTCCAAAATTATATGACGTTCTTATTAAAACAGAAAACATCCCATAAGTGCGAAGGGCAAACTTTTGTCCACCACTCTGCATAGTCACTTTGTTGACCTCACTATTCGCAGAATTGCTGTATGGGGAGGGGGCCTATCCTCATTGTCTTTTTGTCAGACCAAACCAGAAAGTTTTGCTTTAGTGTTGACACCAAATAACTATGTTGAAGTCAAGAGATGAGCATCCATTACACAGGTCACTGCCCTATTTTACAAATGAGTGCGTTGCCGCCATTTTGTGGTATCCAGAGGAAATTATAAACCATTCAAGGGGTTGCGGGGGAACACCATTTATGTTTGGCTATTCGTGGCTGAGCTCTGCGCCATGTTGTAAATGTAAGTTGTGGTCAAATGTTAGAAGAGATTCAGCATAAGCTCTGACTGACAAGAGAAGATCTACAGAGACATGCCAGGCAGCATATTGTACATGTTTTTCACTCTAACCACAATGTATTTTCGTCTAAAACCACGTTTATGTTCTGCCACTAATGCACAAATGCAGCCCATCTTCCACAGATGAGTGGACGCTCCCATTTGGTTCCAAAGCATTCCATGCTCACTTGCCAAGCAGACTGACTGAGTGGGACTTCTTTGAACCGTCACTACTGATTAGTACACGTGAATAGTGGCTGAAATTGCATTTACCCACGGATGTGCATCCTTTTGCCCGACTTGAAATGCATTGCAGCTAGGCAATATTACATTATTTATTTATTTTTTAACGTAGCAAACTATATCCTTACATTCAATGTCTTTTTTCAAAACACAGTATACACAGTGGAACTGCAAGGGACAAAAATCTGTTCTGTGAAACAACTGGGTCGTTAAAAAAGTTCCCCATTTCGCATTTCACTCTGTAGTAATGCCAAATAAAATTCAAGATACCCGACCTAACAGAGGAACATTGTGTTTGCTGAGCAATACTGTCACCTAGTGGCGGAGGTATTGCTGGAAGAGTTGTGTCGTGTATAAGTGTAACAATGGTACTGTATACTGTATACATCATGTATGTGGTTGATATTTATTTAATAAATTGTTTTGTTCACATTGCACTGAGCGGACTGTCCCTTTCCTTAAAACGTGCATATTGGTAATGATCAGGCCTCTATAGCGATACAGGTATACATTGATATTGAATTATTGCCCAGCCATAACATTGAATAACAAATGTAACACAAACGCAAAATGTTCGTCATGAGGCAATTAAGATATTAGAGCAGTGGTTCTCAACCTTTTTAGAGGTACCGAACCTAACCAGTTAATATGCACATTCACCGAACACTTCATGAGTGAAAAATACATTTTTTTTTTTGGGGGGGGATAAATTCAAGATACCGGTATTAAAAAAAACTGCATTTATTAAAAACAGAAAAAAGTAAAAAAAATTTCAAGAGATAGTATACTTTTTTTTTTTTTTATTGACGTACAGTACTATCACGACAGTCACACGTTGACTACAGAGTGAACTAAATTTCTTGCAGCACTGATTGGACAAGCAATGTCATGTGATCATCTGCAGCCAGTGATGGCCAAGTGTGCGTGTCATAACTAATTAACATGTTGAGTTGCATATGTCTTACCCTCCATGGCAGAGGCTCCGTGAACCCCTGAGACTGACTCACCAAACCCCTGGGGTTCGATTGAAGCCAGATTAAGAACCACTGTATTAGAGTAAGAGTCAACTGTAAGAGCAAGCATCCTATGAACCGTGAGCTGAAATAGCAGCAACCCATAGAGACATCTGCATTTCTGCTTTCTGACTAATGTGTGCCCATTACAACTATAGAGCAAAAATTGAAACGAGAGTAGACATGAACATTCAGACTTGAACAGGAGGTACCACATCTTCCTCTCTTCTGGTAAAAGTGCTGGAAATTCATAGACAAGCTAACCTAGATAAGTACTTTAAGTGCTGTGCCCCGATCATATGAACCCCCCCACACTTGACTCACTTTCACTTGGCTCACATTAAGTGCTGTGCCCCGATCATATGAACCCCCCCCACACTTGACTCACTTTCACTTGGCTCACATCCTCCAGTATCCTCTTCATCTTTGATCAGGATGACATCAGGGATCTCTTCAACAGCATGCTAACATGAAAGCAAGTGCATATTAAAAAACATCACATTTATTGCTGCAGGACCGGTCAAGAAAATCGACCTCTTTTGTATCAGGAGGGGAGGTCTTGACCGGCAGGTGCAAAGAGATGGGAGAGGTTTCTTGTGTTGCTGGAGGCTTTAAGACAACTAGAAATGGAATACAAAATTGCGTGTGAGATGCAACAAAAATGCAGTGATCAAATTTGAATACTGTATAGACCAGGGGTGTGAAACTCATTTCACATTGAGAGCCGCTTACGGCCTCGGTAGATGTCAAGTGGGCCGGACCATTAAAATGATAACATACTGTGCTATAAATAACCAAAATATCATATCTTTCCTTTGTTTTGGTATAGTGAAGCACAAGAACATTAGGAAACTGTTGAAATTTAATGAACATATCATTTACAAAACATTTTATGAAACACCTTAGATTTCCTTCGACAATTGTGCAATTTACTTTGATCATTCACATATATGCATTGCAACTGATCCCACTGATTGTACAAAGGCACAAAACTTTAACTGCATTGGTATTGAAAAATATAGTAATGCATTTTAAGATCAAACGAGATTTATAAAGAAAGGCAGTTTTAAACCATTTACACATGTGCATATAAAATCAAAATTTAATCCCTGCCTACTAGAGGTAAGATTGGGCCAAAAAATTCAGCCCGACCTGACCTGGCCCGCGGGTATTAAAGCCTGTCCCGGCCCGAGCCCGACCAATTAACTTGATTTGCAGGCCCGAGCCCGAAGCAAACCCGAAATTTCATATTTTATTTGTGAAGACTCGTGAGTAGGAGGGGTGATTTATGATAACAAATTAAAGCCTGTCTTTTGGAACGAAACCTAAGTTAAGCAAGACTGTAGAAACATTTACATCTTTTATATTTCTGTTTCTGCAGAGGGTACATTGACCGACAATTTTCCATCATTGACGGATTTTTTTAAGAGTTGACGGGAAAAATTTGAGGCCGTCCGTCATTTTGACGGGTTGAAAATTGGGCCATACACTACAGCAGCAGTACGTCCTTAAGAATCTAGCGCGGCACTTTGAGAGAAGCAGCGAGACAAAGAAGAGAGAAGCGCCACTGAACATTTTGAGTGGTTGAAAGTAAAAAAAATATTCAGGAATAATACTTTTACAATTTTTGTAAATTTGTATGTTGTGTTATTTAAAATTATTCACATCGACTGCAGCACAAGGGTTAAGAATCTAGCGCGGCACTTTGAGAGAAGCAGCGAGACAAAGAAGAACAATGACGGATGGATAATAGACAGAGACATGAAGGAGTTCTTTGAATTGTTATTGCAAGAGTTAAGTACAGTACGTGTTGTGATGAGGCGACTTCTGTTTTTTTGCGAACCACGGTCGCTCGTGGCCAAAACTATTCACGGCCTCGAAACGCCTCAGTGCACTGTGACGTTTGGGTAGCAACATCACAGTGCGTTGTTATATATTTATTAAAAATGACGGGTGGATAATAGACAGAGACATGAAGGAGTTCTTTGAATTGTTATTGCAAGAGTTAAGTACAGTACGTGTTGTGATGAGGCGACTTCTGTTTTTTTGCGAACCACGGTCGCTCGTGGCCAAAACTATTCACGGCCTCGAAACGCCTCAGTGCACTGTGACGTTTGGGTAGCAACATCACAGTGCGTTGTTATATATTTATTAAAAAAAAGTCAGCGAGAGAGAAGCCCGGCCCGACCCGAGTCGAAGCAATGATTGACATTTTAGGCCCGACCCGGGTCGAGCTTAAGATCTTACCTCTACTGCCTACATTTTATAAACTAAGGAGAAAACTGTGTTTTTCACTTTTAAATTATCCTGCGGGCCTGATCGAACCTCCTCGGGGGCCGTATGTTTGACACACCTTGTATAGAAGTGTTGAAAGCAGAAATTTTCCAGTTTCCAGTGGATGCTATAGTAGTGATTTTGGTTTGTTTGACCAGAAAAAAATATATATAAATTGATTTAAGAGTGGCCAAATAGTCACACCAGACAACAAAAAAGGAACATACACTCT